ATTTTGAAACTTTTGAATACTAAAAAGGGTACGATTTTTTAGACCTTGTAAAATTCTTACTAGTAATAATATTATTTCAAAAAGTTGTCGTGACAAAAGTTTTAATATATACTGAAATATAAGCAGTTTAAATTTGATTGCTATAGGTGCATAAATAAAAAAAGCCTTAGTATTTTTAAAAGTACCGAAAAATTCAAAATGGCGGAGGTTTTTTGGGTTTCCATGACAACTAAAATTGTTTTCGACCTTTTTTTTTGCTGTTTAAAACTTACTTTTATATGCCAAATATGATAAAAGTATTCAAAAGGCTTTAGATCTTAAACTGTAAAAAATAGAAAAAAACATAGCATATCCCCTTAAATATGTAAAATATCTCTTTTATATTTATTTTCCATTTTTTTTCTAGGTGTTGTGTTTACTAGAAATAGAAAGCCTTTTTAGATTTTAGTGATGAAATCATAGGTTTGTCTATTTTAATACATATTATTCTTATTGAAAATATTTTATTTTGAATTAAACCCAATTTTAATTTCTTTAGTCAATATGTCACATGAAAACGAAAACATCAGGGTTATGTAATACGGATTATAACAAATAGTAAATAATAAAAATAAAAACATGACGAATAAAAATATGTTTTTTTTATATTTTTCTAGTTTTTATTGATCAACATGTGTAAAATAAGCTCTATACAAAGAACTAATTGAATTTTTTAATAAATGTTAATAGTTTTCAATTGTGGATGCTCAAACGTAGTCTTATGAAAATTACAAAAATAACAAGCTAGAATATTTGCTAAACATTTTTTCTTACTGTTTTGTAGAATACCGCTTAAATGAAATTTAAATTATTAGTAAACATACATTTTAAAAAAAAAACAATGTTTTCAATATTTTTAAATTAACATAAATGCAACATTAATTAAATACCAAACTTTAATGCCACGTTAGGAATGCATATGTTAATTAGGCTTTGATGTAACTATACCTTAAAAATTAACAACCAATTAGGAATTATAAACCTACTTTTAAATCACCAGTAAAATACAATATTGAAAACTAAAAATATAATTTAATTTAACAATGATCAGAATTATTTATGAAGTATTAATGCCAAATCGACATCAATTAAAAACTTAAAATAATATCACGTAAGAGCTATAAAAATGTAACAAAAACGTTTTCTATAGTTGACTGTCCACATCATTCTTTAGCACTTCTTGTTGTTCTCTTGTTGTTGTGTACGGTCGAGTGTGTTGTATTGTGTCTGGATGACTGATCCTCTTCCAACGAGGTATCCACTGGTGTGTAGGCAGATTTGGTACAAGCGTTGTACGTGTCCCTCCACGTCAGGTCGACACTCCTCACCTCCTCTTCTGTGATAACTGTGGACAGAAAAAAAACTCCACATAATTTCCTTCTCTCAATTCTCCGGCATAGTTTAGTTATAATTCATGGAAAATAAAATGCATTTCAGACTTTCGAGTTTGAAAATTTAAACTCTTTTATTTAAAAACCAAAAATATTTACCAATAGTTTTTTTAACAATTATTTTTTTCTAATCATTTTTTAAATTTTGCGTATTATTTCATAAAATAGAGTTGAATGACAAATGGTTTTAGCAATCGTGAATTTTTAGTCATTTAACATCGAGATTTATATATCATATATTGTCTCTACTATAACAAATATTTAGAATAACATTTTAAAAGGGTTAAGGGTTAGATATTAAAAACCAAACTTACAGTTTCCAAATTTACTCTTGTAAAAAGACATGATGGCTATAACTAGTGCAGCGGACAAGATTGCTGGATTTAAATCTTTGAGTCGACAAGATTGTTGATTATAAATTGTGTAGTTAACAAGATTGCAATCTTATAAAGCTAACGCCGGCTTTTATAGAAAACACACGTGTAAATATATATAAATAGTAACATTGCTACATCCGTTCTACTGTGTCGCAATGCTCTGATATATTTAAAGCTCTTGGATTTTCCATTTTGATTTACAATATGTTATAAATAGCTTAGTCTATTCCCAGTATGTTTCTACACTTTCCGTTTGCTTTTTACTTTCTCGTATATACGAAGTATAGAGAAAGTCTTGTAATCGTGCACAAAAATCACATTAAATTTGGACAGTTTTCACCGTTTTACTCCTCAGTCCTTCATCACATCCGGGATATAGAAGACTTATTTTAATCGGGCAAAAATTATAAACTCAGATATATAAACTTTTTGGCGTTTTATGCGTAATGGAGTTGGAAAAACTGGATTATCCAATTCTGTCCGTGTGTGTGTCCGTGTGTAAACACGATAACTTGAGTACCGTTACAGCTAGGTTGATGAAATTTCATATATAAGTATTTTATCAAAATCGTAGATCCGTATCAACTTTTGAGCGATTTCCGATAACCGGAAGTGGTACTTTTCCTACTTTGAATTTTTCAAAAGCCTGTAACTTGAGTACTATTTCAGATAGATAAATGAAATTTCACATGTAAGTAAAAGATCTAATTCTCTACCTTCTGTTAAATTTTGAGTAATTTCCGTTGACCGGAAGTAGTAATTTACGCTACTTCCAATTTCTCAAAAAACGAATGTAAATTTTTAAAGTACTAATAATATTGCGCACTATTATGCACTTTTTTTATTTAGCGTTCACTCGGTGTGCAATTCTTTTGTCTACGAGATTTTATTCTATTTTTAAAACTTTAAGTATTTAAAATGGATTAAAAATCATGTCTATAGCCCGAGTTCCCATCCCCTGTTATTTTATATAAAAATATTCGAGAAAGTTTAGGGGAGATCACTCCCGGTTTATTTTTAGATGTATTGATTTGTAAATACGCCGTCTAATATTTGGTGTAAAGTTGACTCATTGATAAATATTTGACATTCATTTAATTTGCACTACCATTATCCCTCTTTAAGAATGTGAGTGATAGTTATAAATATATCTTGGTGCGGTGTTTACAATTTATGTGACTGTACACCGATTAAGTAGTGTAGTGAATGTGCTGATATTTTCTACCTCTTGATACGGTTTAAAGAAATTAAATAAAATTGTTGTTTTCTTTTAATGTCAAACTATTGCGAATCCTAAAGTAAATAAATGCATTATAATTTTTGTTTTTAAACTTAAAGCATTACTTCAATGACACAAATTATTAATATTGGTGCATGTGTAAATTATTTTATTTATCATTTTGACCGTTATAAATATTATTTTTCTCACTATTTTAGAATCTTTTTTGAGGGAACTTAAATTTTTTTTTATTACTTTATCATTTAAACCGCTTAAAGAAATATGATTATTTTTTAACTGTTCTAGATACAATTAGTGTAAAACAAATAGACTAAAACGCTAGTTTAACCATTTTCAACGATGATTGAATTGTTATATATCTTTAAAGTAGCTTTTTAAATTAAGATATTATTTTTATTTTTGTATTTTTTTAATTATTACTCCTCTATAGAGATTTACGTTTACCATGCTGGGATTATAGTATGCAAGCAACTACAGTATTATTTTTTTCCTGTTTCAATGAACCAGACACAATGACTTACAAATAAATTGAATAAATCAGAAACGTAAAGCTATCATCTACTAGAACAGAAAACAGTACATCTATAAAAAAAATAATGTTAAGTGCAAAACAAATAGAACTATTTATGATAGATTTTTAATATGCAAAATTAGAATGTTAATTAATTTAATTTAATTAGTTTTGTAAGATTAATCAACAAGTGCGCGAAAACATCAAGAAAATAAACACCGCTTTTTACTTTCTCGTAAACAGAGCATAGAGAATACATTGTATTCGTGCACAAAAATAAAATGAGATTTTCACAACTTTTGCCGTTTCACACCTCTCTGCTTTATCGTGTAAGGAATATAAAAGATGAGGTGTAATCGTGCGAAAAATCTAAATAGAGATTTTTACACATTTTTAAGTTTTACAACATTCCAGAGTAGGAAAAACTTGGTTTGCAATCATGTCCGTCTGTGTGTGTGTTTGTGTGTGTTTGTGTGTGTGTTTGTGTATATTCAATTGTGTATGTAAACACGATAAATTGTGTTAGGTTGACGAAATATAAGTATTAAATCAAAGTTGTAGTTTTCTTTTAACATTTGAGCTATTTTCAATAATCTAGAGTGGTCCTACTCTACTTCTGATTTCTCAAAAGCCGATAACTTAAGTACCGTTAAAGTTAGGTAGGAAATAAAATAAAATATTAATACTAAATTTAATGCGAAGGCTTCTACTAACTTGTTAACCATCTTAAATAACCGGAACTGGTACTTTACTATATATTTCCTTGTGAACAAGATAATTTTATTTTCCTTTCAATTTGGTTGAATTAATTTCATATATAAGATCTTACACTTTGATTACTCTCAAATTTTGAGTGATCTCAGATATCTGGAAGTGGTACTTTACTCTATTACGGGTTTCTGAAAACCACTAAAAAAAAGTACCGTTTCAGTTCGGTGAACGAAATTTTTAATGCATAGGTGTAAGATCTTACTATATTGCTTTTTTTTTTTTGAGTGATTTCCGAAAACTGGAAGTACTTTACGCTATTGCCTATATTTTTTTTTAAAATATTGCTTCTTCGTGACAAATTTGTTGTAAACTTTTCACGTAGGCCAAGACTCGATGACAATGCACTGTGACATAAAATGTGCCTTAATTAGATATTTAATTAACTTTTTAGAGATTAATCAATGTTTTTTTTTTATTTAAGTATTTAAAAAATTATTTTTTATAGCCGTTTGTCACTGAAAATACTTTTTCTTACTATCATAATAGAATATACGAGAATATATATATATATATATATATATATATATATATGTATATATATATATATATATATATATATATATATATATGTATATATATATATATATATATATATATATATCGTTTCACCAACCTGGCTGTAACGACACTAACGTTATTGTGTTCACAGACACACAGACACACACACAAACACACACAGAGACATACAGACAAACTTGCAAAACGGTTTTCCGACGCAGGGAGGTGTAAGACGTCGAGATTTTTCGCACGATTACAATACTTACTCTATACTTCGTATCCGAGAAAGTAAAAACTCGCGATTGATTGAAATGGGAAGGGAAAAATTTTAAACAACTGAGATAATTAATTAAACCCATATCTTGCATCTTATATAAACTAATGTTCATTGTATATTTTGCCTAAAATTTTCCAAAAAAAGATATAACGTTAATAGAATTGAAAGAAAAGTGAACGATATGGTTTAATTTTTCTTTTTATATTTTTTATACTATTGACTAGTTTTTCTCACATATTTCTTGGAGATTTTATTCCTTAAAAAAACATTTTTAAATCTTTTTAAACGTAGCAAATTTAATAGATAAAAGAGATCTTGACCATTGTCTGATTAAAAGTTTTTAATTTTCTATATACATCGGACGTGCATCAATCATTTATTCTTTTAAATTAAAATTCTACCTTTAAAAATCACCGCAACACACATTTAAAGCCCATCTTTAGTAATCTCATGTTTATTAGATACATAACATTCTAATAATTGTGGATACAAGTATACACCAGAAAGAAATAATAATAAAAATATTTATACATTAGGAAACACTCTGACAAGGCACACTGAAACTGAAAATTATGTCTAATACACGCAGAAAACAATTTTAAAATATTTAATTATAATTTGTGTTTGGGCCGTAAATTTTACAGCATTCCAAGTTTGTACATAATTTTCTGTATAAATACTGTTAAATTTGTATTCAAACTAAAAAAATGATAATATTATCATTACTTTAAGGTAAATTATATTTCTTTAAACATAAAAACGGGGATTAATTGTTTTACAAGTTTGAAAATTTTCTTGGATATATTTCTGATCTAGAGGTGTTTCCTTCATCCCATGCTAAGATGGAACCAGCACCTGTCAACCGATGTGGTCTACGCCGATGGAGCTGCAGTTGATTAATTGTGCACCTGTGTAGTGGCTGTGGTTGTGTGGGTGACCGAACCAGTAGCCCGACCCACACAGCGGCTGCCCTAAGATAAACACGTATGCCCCGCTGCTGCCCGGGCATGTGGCCGTGTTGTAGCTGTAGTTGCACCAGTTCTGGTTCTCTCGCACGTCCTTCAGACTTTTCTTCTCCACGGTGTGACCAAAGCTGATTCTCTTCGGCCCGCCGTGGGGATGCGAGACGATGACCACGAGTTGTTTCTCTTTGTTGTTTTTATACTGTTGGTAGAGTTTCTTCTGTAAATCGTTAAAATCTTTTATCGTCTTTTCCAGTTTTCCTACTAGATCCATGTCGTGTGTGACACATTCAACAAAACACCAATCGTTATCGCCCCTTTCTTTGTCGGTGTCTGCCAAGCGCCGTCCGTAAACTGTTTTTGGCTCTATCTTTTTTTGTGCGTCGGTCTTTTCCTCGTCGGCTTTTTGTGCGTCGGCTTTTTGCTTGTCGGCGTTTTGCTCGTCGGTTTTTACCTCGTCGGCTTTTTGCTCGTCGGCTCTTTGCTCGTCGGCTTTTTGCTCGTCGGCTCTCTGCTCTTCGGCTTTTTGCTCGTCCGCTTTTTGCTCGTCGGTTTTTACCTCGTCGGCTTTTTGCTCGTCGTCACAGAATAAATGTAGAACACATTTCTCTGCTTCGGCCTGCTCCGGCAGCACATGCAAGACAATTGTGATTGACAAAATCGCCCAATCTTTTTTTGATTGTTTGTTCCTGACACACTCGGGACATGGGCACCCACCCACTTTGCTTTTCCTGACTTTCTGTACAAACCCGGTACCATATTTGTTGTCTGCACCGAGAGGAATTTGTATACGGCCCGTCAAATCAGCCAAAAGACATAAACATGTGTTCAGATCTTCGGTAATTTTAACTCCATGATAATCTTTATTTATAAGTTTATTTCCTATAAGTTCACTAATATTGATAAAATCGTCATGGTTTGTTTTTTTAGTACAGGAATCCCAACCGTTTTCCCACGTTTGTCCGTGCTCAATGTAAACTTCTTCAGTTTGTTCTATGTAAAGAAAAAAAAAGAAAACTTTTACAAAACTTTCTTTTTTTTCAATGTAGAATAAATTTGGAAATATTTAAATTAAAGTATTTTTTCATATGTTGTATAACTATCAGCATATATTTTGAAGTTTTGAGAATGTAAGGTATAACATTAAGTTCGTTTTTGGAAAACTTACTTAGAGAAACCATTTTATAAAGATGAAGAACTTGCACGTCAGTTCATCAAACAGTTCACCAAATAATCGACTTGCAGGTCATGATCTGCGCAGACAGAAAAAAATAAATGATAAATTTATGTTAAAAACAGTAGTGTAAAGTTCACTTTCTATTTCTTCTTGCATGCAAGCTGAGTAGCCATATACCATTGTGTCCTCTCTGAAAAATCAAAACAAAGTCCAATATCCAAAAAGTATTTATAACATGTAACTTATTGATTAAACTTACAATAAATAGTTTTGATAATGGTTGCTCTTTGTTCACGGTTCTGTTCTGTTTAAAGTTTAAAGTGCCAACGCAATTTCTGAAGAAAAAAAATACAATATAATAACCGTAATTATGAAAGAAACCTTATGAAATATTTCAACTTTAGGCGAAATCCCGTAAAATTTAAAGTGTCACTCCACCATAGCTTACCATTAATTTCGGGGCTAAGACAGCTTAAATCTGGTACTGCAGTCGAGACAAGTTATTTTTCTTGTATATAAACCTTCGGACAATAATGATTGGAGTTTTCCTGGAAGGTATTGATGACGTAACAGGCATAAGTTCTAGAATTCCCATTTGCAGTCAGATGTATTTTAAGCACCCTCTGGAACCCTGCAAGGGTACCAGCACAGAAACACGTACGTCCGAGTAAACATTATACACAAAATACATTGCTGTAAAACAGTTCCGTTTTGATTCCGTTGTTAACAAAAATCTATTAATAGTAAGAACACTGAAGCTTATCAAAGTCAATAGTCAAATGTGTTGTATTCTTACCGAAATCGGTATAATATATGCTAGTTAGGTCTATATTAAAATCAAATGTGGTTAAAAACACATATTAGTTAGGGGTTATATTAAAGCATTACAAAGTATTTGTTGATCTCACTGGTGTGAAGATTTTGCAGACGACTCATCATATTATTTGCTTTCATGTGTTGGGTTTTTATTTATTTTTTTATTATTTTGGCCCACTTTAAAACACTTTTATATTGTTTTATACTGCTGTGTAAAGCAACATCACATACAATATGTTCAGGTCGTTAAAGTTAAGACAGATCACGTGACAGAATTGTTGCAACAATGTTTGATAAGGAATTGTCAATAATTTCTTATAATAAAGGGTGGGGGTGTGAATGGATGGGTTTTTTTTTTTTTTGTTTTTGTTTTTTTGTTGTTTTTTTTTTTTTTGACGTGATTAGTGGGGATAAGGATAAACAAGGAGTAGGGGCTAAGAGATATGATGTCATAAAAATAACAATGATGATTAATTCATTCGAGTTTTACATGACGAAGGGTATACATTTTTGTGACGTCATTTCAGGGAATACAATACTGTCAATAAAAGGAGATCACAAATCAATAAAAGAGTAAAGCTAAATCGATATACTTAAACATAAGTATTTCTGATTTTTGGACTTGATGATGATGATGATGATGATGATGATGATGATGATGATAATGATGATGATGATGATAATTATGATGATAATAATGATGATGATGATGATGGTGATGGTGATGGTGACGATGACGATGACGATGACAACGAAGATGACGATGACAACGAAGATGATGATGATGATGATGATGATGATGATGATGATGATGATGATGATGATGATGATGATGATGATAATGATGATGATAATGATGATGATGATGATGATGGTGATGGTGATGGTGATGGTGATGGTGATGGTGATGGTGATGGTGATGGTGATGGTGATGGTGACGATGACGATGACGATGACAATGACGATGACAACGATGATGATGCTGGTGATGATGGTGATGACGATGATGATAATGATGATGATAATGATGATGATAAAGTTTTGTGTAACATGAGGTGGATTGTCTTTGAGGTGTTATAAAACGTTATGAACTAATGGTCAAAAAGTCAAATAGTTAATGTTATACAAATGTATCAAGCCGTTCAGCTAAGCAACAAGACTCTCCACACCCACAGAGCTGCAGTTGATGAATTGCTCCTCGCTGTGGCCTGAGTGGTTGTGTGGGTGGCCGAACCAGTAGCCCGTCCCACACAAAGCCTGGCCCAGGATACACACGTAGGCACCGCTGCTCCCCGGGCAGGTGGCCGTGTCGTAAAAATACTGACACCAACTCTGATTTTCTCTCACCTCCTTGAGGGGTTTCACATCTGTAACTTGCCCAAAACTGACCTGTTTCGGACCGCTGTGAGGATGAGACACTATGATCACAGGCTTTACTTGTTTATCTTTGTATTCTTTATAAAAAGATTCCTGCAATTTTGCCAATTCTGAGATCGTTTCTTCCAGCATGTCCACAAGTTTCATCTTGTGAGTGACACATTCAATAAAGCACCAGTCTGTTTCCTTATCCCGCTCTGTTTCAGATAACCTGTCCCCATACGCCACTTTGACATTTTTTGCGAAATCCGCTTCAGAAAAAAAATCTTCGTCGTAAAACAATTCAAATTTAGTAATCTCTACATCCAACTGTGACGTAACCACGTGATACACAGTGGTCACTCTAAAAACTGCCCACTCTGTCTTGGCAGTTCGTGTTTTACATTTGAGACAAGGACATGGAACACCAGTTTTCCTCCTAATTTTCTCCAAAAATCCAGTTCCGAATCTGATTCCGCCAATATTGATGCGACCAGTCAGGGTTGTTAACAGCAAAACAAATTTGATAATTTTCGGTGTCGCTGTAAATCCATTTGTGAGAATTTCATCGATTTGGATCTGTTTCGGATTTTTGAACAAATGGTGTTTATCTTTCTTCTCACATTGGTCCTGCTTTGTCTTCCAATCCTCTCCTTCTTTTAGACAAATTTCTTCAGAATTTTCTAGATTTGATTTTAAAAAGTGAAAATAAATTTGAAATTTCTAAATCAAAATTAAATGGCATCTTTATTTCTGCTCTATATTTATTTTCTAAACCGATTACAGTATGTCAAACACACTATGTTAAATTAATTAGGAAAAAAAACTATCTTTTCTTGTTTGCTATTACGGCTAAACATAATATAGCTTTATACACAAATTACAAAAATCAAATTACAATAAGTAACGATTAGCAATGAAACACTTACTTAGTTTATTATTGCGTTTACTCATGGTGGGAAAACTCTTGCTAGAGTATCATTTAATTTACTTGTTGTTTACACATATGTAGTGTGTGTCTACTGTTGGAAATGAAACACTTTTTCAGTCACTTATTTCATTCTCCGTATATGTTTTTCATTATATATATATATATATATATATATATATATATATATATATATATATATATATATATATATATATATATATAACAAATGAAACACCAACAAGTCCTTAACGAACTTAAGTACAACTACTTGTCCCTTACGGTACATTCTCATCTAAGTTTACAAACACCCCCGGGTCCCACCACTCATGCCATGCGTCCCGTTCGGTCTGTATCTAACCCTGCACTGCCCTATACGTTGGTTCATGGCTCAATATCTAGGCCTAGTCTAACCGACACTTATCATTTCCCCAGAGTCAAACAATCGCGAGTCAGCTCTGTTGCGTCAGTCGACGCTCGAGATAACGCCCTGTCAGAGTGTATTCCCTATACCCAACCACTCCATGTATTTGAGATAGCTATTGTTTATTTTGTAGAAGTTTTATTGTTCAAACGTTTTGTTATCAAATTGTATTTACATTATGTGTTAAAAATATCTGCTATATACATCTAAATATAAAAGTAAAGGGTTTATTTTTGTTGGCGAAACTCCAAACGGCACCGAATGTTATTCTTTTAGCTGCTTCTGTGTCATGATCTTATGTCATCCGCCGTTAATAGCATCAGATTTCGGACACATTTTCCTGAAAAAGTCAGCTTTATTGATTTGTCTAAACTATTTTTAAGTCTTCGCTTCAGCTTAAACGTACTTTTTCAAATGCGATAAGTAATGCTTAGACTAATTCTTTTGTTTCTACCATACGCGATAGCTTTTAGCGTTAGTGAAAACCTGTTTAAAGCATAAGAACCCTACTTAGCTAATCATAACTACCCCTGACTGAAAACTATTCTTTATTTTGTAGAAAAAAAACTTAACTAATACAATGCATTAAGGGTTTTGCAGCTACTTAATATCAGAAGAAGACAAAACATAAACTTCATTTGCGACAAGTATCTAATGTTGAGAACTCCCGATTTTCTTTGGGTGATAAGCTTCAGGCTACGAATGTCACTTCGTCGTATGGCAGAGTCACGTCGTTAATAAATTGTATCCAACAATTAAGAAAACATTTTTTTACTGCCAAATGTTTAAGAACAGAAAATTTCTTTTAAAAAAGTAACACTTTAATATTAGGAGAAGTCCACTTTCAAAACCTACTACATCACTTCTGACTTATTTTGAGGAAATCGATTTTAAAACGTTTTTCTTGTTAACTACCATTATGATTTTTTATATTTTACTGTAAAGAAATGTATTGTATATTATACCTTTTAGAACAAAAATTAGTATATTGCTTTAATTGTACTTAATTGTACTTTAATTGTACTATAATGATTATAACATATCCTTCAAATAAAATTATCGTAAAAGCTCCAGCGTCGTATTTGGAGGAAGTGCAATCCTTAGACTGACATGCCAACGCCTTGTCGATTCCTTAAAATATAATCGTCACATCTAAAGATAAACCTTACATCATTGGTTATTACGTGGTTTCGAGAAAACCCACAATTTGTTAATTTTCGAATTCCTGCGCTGATTGGTTGTTTTTCTTAAACGTCAATAGGGGAATACAGTAATGTGTCTAAGTTTTTCTTCCGATGTATTCACGAGAAAGTCAGAATTAAGATTAGTCTCAATGTTAGGTTTAGGGCTAGGCATATGGCTAAGCTTAGTAAATTCCTTATTACCTGCTGTACAACAAGGAAGGCGTGTTCACAAAATACACCAATTACGTCATTAGTAGTATATTTTTATTGGAAGCTGGCATAGTCAGCTCTAAAAATACACATGCTCTAGAAGTACGTAAACTTTTTCTGTAACCCATCACATGGCTGTCCTAAGCTTAATGTTTGGATGAGTCGTAGAACGGTTCTTAGCCAATTCAGCCATAGCTTGTCTTCAAACAGATCAAACATACGGCTTGTTTATATATTATGTGTCATCTTTTAACTCAACAGTGCAAAAAGCTTTCACTTTTTTTAGAAAATCGCCAGCCGTCAATTTTCTTAGAAAAATCGATTGATTCGATCATTGTTATTTTTATTTTCAAGCAGTATGCACAAACACACACAGACACACATATGTCAACATGGACATAAAAGAGGGTCTTGAAAATCAATATAACCTGACATTAGTGCTGTAAATGCTATAACTGACAATGGAAATGTATCGCCCATTGTGTATACAAACACCCCGCTGTTGAGTTTTTTAAACCCGTGATTGTCAAACAATTGCGTCTCCATTGTATTCATAAAACATCTTGGCGTCACACCAACTCACACAAACTCTCTCTCACACACACACACACGCACACAACACACACAAACACACACACACCACACACACACAAACACACAAACACACACACACACCAAGTGGCGATATTTAACCTCAATGTAATGGGAAACCTACAGTCATCTCAATAATCGTGTTTAAAATAACCGACCATTAACTAAAGTTAAAAACAAATTCATTAAAAAACGTTTTAATAACAAGCTTTTACGTAATAATGCACTAAAAAGAAGAAAATAAATTATAGACTACTATTTAAATTACTATAAAGAAAAGCGTGGGTCTCTTCCTAAACATCAGTAAAGGTATCCAATAGATACTAAACTGATCCACGCTTTTCTTTATAGTTATTTAAATGGTACTTTATAATTTATTTTCTACTTTTTAGTGCATTATTACATAAAAGCTTGTTATTAAAACGTTTTTTTATGAAAAAAAATTTAGATATTTCTTTGCTTTGCCACCAATGCCGTTTAACGTATAGTAAATCACATTGCGTTTTGAGCAATAACTATTTTATAAAATATTTTGCTCAAACATGTATAACATTAAAAATATATAATTCACGTATAACGGGTACCGAGGCTAGTTATTACATAAAAGATTGTTATTAAACTAATTCAGACAAAATTTTAATTAATTCATATAAAATTAATTAGGCATCCAATTAATTCAAATTTTATGTCAGATTGCATTGTCTTCATGTCTTGACCCACGCGCCAACTTTGAACCGGATCTGTCAGTTAGAAGTGCCCGTAATTTTGCTCGGGCGTTTCGATCTAGACAGACTGATGACAGAGGAAGCAATTTAAACGAAAGCTTGTAAAAAGTGCTTGAATTAGATCGACCACTTACAGACAAAATCGATATTTGGTAAGGAGAAAGCTCTTGTAAAGTAGACACCTGGAAAAATATCAAATTCTAAGAAATGTAATATTAAGGGGTTATATGATTATATGGTTATATTGTATCTATTAAAGGGACGTAGCTGCTTCAATAAACTATACTTTTTATCTCCCTTTTTCTTTGACTTCACGCAAAAATAAACGAAGAAAATATTTGCATAAAAGAAAAGTTCCTTTTAAATTTTTACTAAACGGTTTTCAAATAGCTGAAAAAAATAATGAATAAGGAATAATAATTAATATTTGCTTCATGGCAGTTTAAAACAAATACGTCATTGTTTATTGCTGCGTTTTGTGTATTGGCTGAGTTATTTAATTGTTGAATCTGCAGGAACAAAAATTGCGTTATATGTAAAAAGATGGATGTCGATTGAAATGTTAAATGTCATTATTATATTTCGGGCATAACTTTATTGATACATTCATTTGTTATTTGCTTTAGGTACTAGCAATATTGTCAATTTTCAATAGTATACTCTTGACAAATCCTCCAATTATACAATAATTCATTTGATTATGTAAAAAAAAAATATTTATACATTAATTAATTTATATTATATTTTGTTTATTTATTTGTTTGTTTTGTTTATTGATTTACTGAGCTAGTTAGTTTTTAATTTCTTTTTCTTTATTACTTCATCATTGATATATATTTTTAAACGAGAGTTTTTGGCATTAACTTTTCTCTTTTGTAATCACATTGGAAGTGACATCTCAAGCGGTATATAAAAATGCATGAGTCTCATTCAATATTTAAAAAGTTAGACGACATAAATACGTCATTTAAATATATTTTTGGTGCCATATTTTTTAAATATTTGTTGAATTTTTTTTTCCCACCTGCCTGGGGGGTGTATAAATAGGAAATTTATTTTTTTATTAAATAAAGAGTCTTATTTTCATATTTATTATTTTATTGGGAGCTTTCATTCATCTACTTTCGGGCGTTGACAAATCATCAAACGAATATTTGTTGTTGTTTTTTTAATGAACTGACATTAAAAAACAATCAGAAGGAAATATTTAATAGAAAATACACAACAAACTGTTATTTTAAAAAGGAACAACAAGAAAGATTAAACTTAATGTTTGAACTGTTGCTGAATTTGTTTAAATAAATATTTTGTTTTAATGATGTTCGTTCTATAAGTTCAGAAAACGTAATGTTCATGCAACTGTATCGACACCTATAGAGCTACAGTTGAAGTAATGTTCATGCAACTGTATCTACACCTATAGAGCTACAGTTGACGTAATGTTCATGCAAATGTATCGACACCTATAGAGCTACAGTTGACGTAATGTTCATGCAACTGTATCTACACCTATAGAGCTACAGTTGACGTAATGTTCATGCAAATGTATCGACACCTATAGAGCTACTGTTGCCGTAATGTTCATGCAACTGTATCGACACCTATGGAGCTACAGTTGACGAAATGTTCAACGTTGTAGTGGCTGTGGTTGTGTGGGTGACCGAACCAGTAGCCCGACCCACACAGCGGCTGCCCTAAGATAAACACGTATGCCCCGCTGCTGCCCGGGCATGTGGCCGTGTTGTAGCTGTAGTTGCACCAGTTCTGGTTCTCTCGCACGTCCTTCAGACTTTTCTTCTCCACGGTCTGACCAAAGCTGATTCTCTTCGGCCCGCCGTGGGGATGCGAGACAATGACCACGAGTTGTTTCTCTTTGTTGTTTTTATACTGTTGGTACAGTTTCTTCTGTAAATCGTTGAACTCTTTTATCGTCTGCTCCAGTTTTGATATTAATTCTACGTCATGAGTCACACATTCGACAAAGCACCAATCATTGTTGCCTCTTTCTTTGTCAGTGTCCGCCAACCTTCTCCCGTACAACTTTTTAATTCCCTGTTCAGATTCGTCATCGCAGAAAAGTTCAAAAACTGAATTTTCCGCTTGCGATTGTTCAGGGACAACATGCAAGACTGTCGTAACTTTAAACACCGCAAATTCTGTCCGTGGGTTTTCTGTTTTACACTCTGGGCAAGGACAAGAACCACGCCGTCTTCTAATTTTTTCAACAAAACCAGTCCCGAATCTATTGCTCCGATTATCCAGTGGAACTACAACTCGACAGGTCAAACTTGCAATTAAAAGAATCGTCCTGAAAATGTCCCCTGTCATGATGAAGCCAGGCATTGTGTTTTTTCTAATGTCGTCTTCTATGGTATTTTTGTTTCCCATGTCAACAAACTGACCGTGGTTGTCTTTTTTTTTACACTTCATCATATTATTCTGCCAGTTTTCATCTTTTTCAAGGACAACCTCTTCTGTGATAACTTGAAATGATATTAAATTAAACGTATTTAAAATTCTTATCAACTTTAAATCATCTGTAAATTTATATCCCTTAATGAAGTATTATTTGACTACTCTCTATTGACAAATTTAACATTGAGAATTAGATAACAAAGTTGTGAATGAGCTTAAACAGTATTTAACATTTTACATTTTTAAATCAAAGCAACAAACATGATAAAATATATTAAAAACACTTGTAATCACGAAGTTACTTACTTTTCGAGGACATTTTTACAAACTGATTAAAAAATAGAATCAATCTCCAGGTTTGTTTTTAGAAGTTGTGTATAGTTAGTTTATGTGAAATTAAGACGTAAAGGCAATATACACCTTTATACGTGAAACTACACATTAATAATGTTACATTTGCCGCATCGAAAAAGTATATACCGTCTAGGTCTAATTTATAGAAAAAATATAATACTTCAAAGCTTTGTTGCTTCGTTTTCGTCGAACTCTGTGTAAAACGATATCGGGTTTTTACCGAATGATGGGTCGAACTACGTAATGTCTATTTAAAACAGACGACAGAATAAGTCAGCAGGACTTAGGATCAACAATACAGACGTAGTTGCTATGGGTGAAGTCAACACAATGACAAGTCACATGACTTATGACGTGTTTATTTTTCTTGTTTATCAAATGGGAAATGAATGAGCCGTGCTGAAACACATACTTGAAGATTTGAAGTGTGCTGTACTTTGTTTCGATTCAACTTATATTAAAGGTGTCGTATTTTATTACGATTAAAAGGGTAGAATATTCTGTTACTTTATAAAACATGGCGATTTTTTTTTTTTGCTATTTAAATCGTAACGAATTTTCCTGCGATATTAAGGGTAAAGCACCTTTATTAAGATTCGAAATTTGAAGAATATCTATCCGTTGTTTTGAAGGTTGTCCTTCGTTAAAAAACATTTTGGCACTGGTGATCATGTGATATTATATCTCTATCCAACTTCTTAACACAGTTTGCTTTCTGCATATTATATTTACTTCACCATCTTTCCCCTTTTCTACATATGTTCTGTATATATATATATATATATATATATATATATATATATATATATATATATATATATATATATATATATATATATGTGTGTGTGTGTCTGTGTCTGTGTTTAAGTGTGTGTATAATCATGTGTGTGTGTGATACCGGCAACGTTTGAAGTCCGTCAATCCATAGTGGGGCTGGGAATTCTGTAAGAACGCCTTAAATGAACTGGTAAGTACGAAATTAATCGTATTTCGTACTAACCCGTGGCAATCTAAGAAAGCCAACAAGAAAACCGACAAATCGTATAATAAGCATATTCTCTCAAACATATTCCTTCAAGCATTCCCTCAACCATATTCTCTCAAGCATATTCCCTCAAGCATTATTCCCTCAAGCATATTCTTTCAAGCATATTCCGTCAAACATATTTAATCAAGCATATTCCCTCAAACATACTCCCTCAAACATATTCCCAAAAGCATTATTCCCTCCCAAAAAAAATGTTATGCTCTACCGTGTTATTTCAGACAAGACGTGCAGAAAATAAAGAATGCCGCATAGCTCTTACTAAGCGTCTCGAGTTCGGATCCCGCGCTTAAGTCTGCATGACGTTCCTGCGTCCACCCACCTTCAATTGTTGCCTGATTCAGTTAGAGAAAGTAAAGAAGGTCGGGCATAGTGCTGACCACGTTACTGAAGTTTCTATTTTAAAATTGATTACATGTGGAGAAAGGAACGGAATTCCATTCCACTGGTTCTTTGTCCTACTCTTGTGTTACATTTGGGTAAAAGATGAGTACTTCAGTTCTACCCCAGCGTGTCCCGTCAAAGTGTTATTACAATAATTATTTTCTATAACTCGATACCAGTTGATATATCGTGGAGACAGTGGGTACTGTAAACATTGGGCTAACTTTAGGTGCTACAAGAACTAACGCGTTGTGTTGACTAAAAACTAGAAGTGCTGGTAAACAACGTGTTTATATCATGCGCAGTTCACAAACTCAATATAAGGTTGCGTTAGCTAGGGACAACTCGTGTATTTTAACATTATAGTAGGCGAACTATTGTGTTCTACACTTAATAAAAACAACAGAAAATAATATGTTGCCATGGTTACGAGTTTAGTATTTATTTTTAAAAACTATAATTATTTGTCGGAATGGACATATTTCAATATTTCGATTTAGGTAAGGGGAATATTATATTGAATGTACATATTATTATTCTAATTAGTTTAGTTTTTAATATTTATTTACTTTCGTATAATTTTTCGTATATCTGGGGGTTTTTTTTATTTGTCTAGTTTTTACTTTAGAAAGCATTTTTTTTTAAATAAGTCATTTATTTTCTTGCTTTTTAATATTGTTTTTATGTTAAGCGTCATTATCTTTTCTACGTATAATCCTAATCTTGTTCCGTAGTTTTGTGTTAGTACCGTTAAAGACTTCTATCTCATGTTTTATGTAAAAAATTGATTTTGTCAAATACTTGCTCAATCACGATATTTTCAATACATCTAGCGCCGCGTTGTAATATGAAATCTAAGTATCTATTTTTGTTTTAAAACTATAGCAGCAATTTCAAGTCTTGTGTAAACAATGTTTTCTTTTAATACTAACCGCAAAAAAATTTAACATATACAAATTAGCGTTTGATTTTTTTTTCTTTTATTATTTACACAGCCACAACTGAAGAAGAGATCAGAGAGGGGGTCAATACGTGGGTCAGTACCCGGGATAAATGCCAGAAACTTGACCACAACCGCTACATCTCATTGCGAGATTTCACAGAACAGAGCCTTAGAGATTTGGATGAGGGAGGTCTTGATGACGGTAAACTGTGTGGATTACTGGCTGAGCTTATCAAATGTATGGGCAAGCTGTCGGTGTACATCGAGTATCCTCACTGTAAACATGTCGTTGTTGGAACTGGGTTCATTCAAAGAATACGGAGAGTAAATCGTGAAGATTCCGAAATGGGGCATTTTACCATCACAACCTGTGTTAATGTGGTGCGAAAAATGACGTCGTACGACGAGGTCAAGGTCGTTTTGTTTTATGACGAGCATGAAAATGAAGGGAAAATTCGGAGTTTGAAGCTGGACAAAATTCCAGAATTTGACGAAAACCAGGACTGGTGTTCCATAGAATGTGTGAGCCAGGATCTAGATGTCGTGGAGAGGTTGGAGAGTTGTCTGGCGAGGTATGAGGACCATCAGAAGAAAGTTTACCAGCGTTACATAGACGCTGGGGATGAGAGTTGTCCTCGAGTTGTCGCTCTTGTCGGCTATCCACACGGCATGCCTACAACCGTATCGCTCGGTCACGTGATCCAGAAGAAAACTCTCCACCTGACCCGGGACGGGAAAGACTGGTGTAGATACGCCTATGACACGCCCACCTGCCCGGGGAGCAGCGGGTCCCCGGTGTTTATTCTGGGTCAGCCGTTGGCGGGGTTCGGGTACTGGTTCGGTCACCCGCACAACCACAGTCGGGGTTACTGCGGGTTGTCGGGTGAGCCCGTGGGTTTCAGCTGTGTTGGTGCTGATTGTGTGGGCTTCTAGAATATTTTCTTCTCTTATACGGGCCTATCGAGTGATTCAAAAATAAGAAAAGTTATTGCTGCTTGGGCGTATCATGTTATCCTTTTGTATCGAGGATTTTTTTTAATGTGTAAATCTCAACGATCTGATGCTTTAGTATCACCGATGATACACTACAACCCACACCAAATATTGTGTTGATCTGGAGGCAGTTTTTCTGCTTCTTCTGCGTTCTTAATTGAATTTATGTTGGAGGGTTTAAACAAATCCAACTTTGTGTATGAACTGGACTGTGGTCTCCAGATCTGAGGGTGCCCATATAGTTTTTCCTAGAATGGGGTGTGTAGGGGCCAGTGTTTAGATCACACCTGGTTGTACAAGGAGCAGTCTTGAAAGATGAAGTTGTCAATAATAGAGTATCACTTTATCTAGTCAAGAGGACATTACTTTCATGCCTTTGGATTGTATTAAGTACTTTTTAAAGAAATAATTACAGTTCTTAATTTTATCTACTTATTGTTTGTATGTCTCAAATATTTTTTTATTTACTCTAATCAAAATATATTATTGTATAACGTTAAATGGCTAACAATTTTTATATGAATTAACAAATTCATTGCAAGACTGCTTACGTATCTGTTTAAAAAGGCATATATCTTCACAGTCTAGTGTGATCACTTGAATATTTTGAAAAATACGTATGTAACATATAAAATTTTATCCTTACAGAATTTATTTTAATATCGTACCAAAAATTAACTATATAAAAAACAAAACAATTTTTTTCTGTTGAAACGACGTTTTATCTCTTTTATACTTTTTATTATCGCAATAAAAGCATTATATAATATTTTCCATAGCTTCTAAAGCTACGGACACTTTGCTCTATATCAGCCATCAACATTGTCTTTATCATCATCATTCTTTCTTTTCGTTCTTTGCGAGCTCCGTTAAAGTTCTTTACTCTCCACAGCCCCTACCATTGTTTTCTGCTCCTTCACATTCCTCCAGGGCGCTACATCGTCAAGTTCTGCTGGTCCAACACTTGAGTTGCTTGCTCTGATTGTTCCATTCCACGGCCTGTCTGGCTCGTGTGATCAACATTTTATAATTTCTTTCTTTTTACTTTCTCGTACATACGAAGTATAGAGAAAGTCTTGTAATCGTGCACAAAAATAACATTAAATTTGGACAGTTTTCACCGTTTTACTCCTCAGTCCTTCATCACATCCGGGATATAGAAGACTTATTTTAATCGGGCAAAAATTATAAACTCAGATTTATAAAACTTTTGGCGTTTTATGCGTAATGGAGTTGGAAAAACTGGATTATCCAATTCTGTCCGTGTGTGTGTCCGTGTGTAAACACGATAACTTGAGTACCGTTACAGCTAGGTTGATGAAATTTCATATATAAGTATTTTATCAAAATCGTAGATCCGTATCAACTTTTGAGCGATTTCCGATAACCGGAAGTGGTACTTTTTCTACTTTGAATTTTTCAAAAGCCTATAACTTGAGTTCTATTTCAGATAGATAAATGAAATTTGATATGTAAGTAGAAGATCTAATTCTCTACCATCTGTCAAATTTTGAGTAATTTCCGTTTATCGGAAGTACTTATTTACGCTACTTCCGATTTCTCAAAAACGCATGTAAATTTATAAAGTACTAATAACATTGCGCACTATTATGCACATCTTTATTTAGCGTTCACTTGGTGTGCATTTCTTTTTTCTACGAGATTATATTCTATTTTTAAAAATTTGAGTATTTAAAATGGATTAAAAATCATGTCTAGAAGTCTATATCCCGAGTTGCCATCCCCCGTAATGTTATATTAGAATATTCGAGAAAGTTTAGGGGAGATCACAATATGTTTTATTTCTTTTTCGTTCTTAATTATTAGTGTTGAAGGGGATCGAGATTTATCTGCCAGTGGGTTTGAACTCGAGACTTTGTTCGAATTTATCAACCTTGAGCTTTTTGCCGACTCGACCACTCCTCCAACACAATTAAGCGTTACGTGTCAATTGAGGCCATTGACTCCGATTTCAGCCTGCTTTTCTTTTTGGATTTGCTTCCATAGCCTTTGTCCAACCAAGAACAAACTACAAGGCAGCAGTTGTTTAATTTTGGAGTTGTCTCTCCTAGAAGAGTGGCTGTCCCCAGCTAACGAGCCTCATCTGCCCGAGGGTTCGAACACGAGACTTTTCGGTTTAGCAACCATGAGCTTTACCGACTCGACCACGCCGACCCCTAACATTTTATACAATGCATTACATTTTTACTAACACCCATTAACACCCATGGAAAAAAATCATGTCTTTATTTATATTTTTTAAATTATTATTTTTATATCTTTAATATTAAAATAATTAATTACATTATTTAGTTTAGACAATGAAATGATCGGTATAAAAAAACGTTAAAAATAATTTAAATTTATGTTTGTTACTTCCCATTTACAAATGTTATATTTTCAAGGTAGACGACTAAAAACATTTACACCAAAAGATGTTAAAAATAATTTTTAAAAAAGTAAAGGCAGAATAAAATTATATTTTGTTCTGGCATTTTATTTATTTAAAATAAATATAAAAATTCTCATCTCGCTGTTTTCTATTCTCACAATTTTTAGATTTTAAACATTTTTTAAACGATATTTTAATTAAAAGACCCTTTATCTTTTGAATACTTAATTTGCAGATTAGATCTTTTTTCTCCGATCAACTATTAATATGTCGTAATTTGCAACAGTTATTTTCCGATTCAAATAGTGAAAGTAAAGGCGGCTGACCATAGTGTTGAAAGGTCACAGAAACAAGAGAACTCTACTTCACTTGCCACATAGACCGTAAGGTTTAAAAGCCAAACTTTACATCAACATCAAATTCTGTACATAATTTCGAACATCAAAAATGGAAAAAACGAAAGGTTAAAAAAAAAAAAATTAAAATTTGTATTACTTTCGGCCTAGAAAGTTGTATACATTTCATATAATACGTCTGGATAAGTAGATCTATAGCTCTAAATTATATTTGAATGCACTCGTTCAGTTTCTTCACATTCTAAAATTGGAAGATGACGCCATTAGCTTTGTGTTCTTTCCGTAGCTTAAACACGTGAATGTGACGTCACTGTTTATTAAGTTCGTCACAACTATAAACACTTTTCCGGTTGTTTAATTAAAGTTGTGTTTCTACATTCGAAAAAAAAAATAGTTCAGTATGTATATTAGTACAGAAACCAAAGCAAACACTTGCGAAAATATTAAAAACCACCAATCACACAGCCACAAGAAATAAAGCAATCACACCTAACTTAATTAACACGACTAGACAAAGAACAGAAGACGAAAACAGACTAGTAGCAACGGCTATTTATAGATCGACTATATGGGAAATAAGGAATAAATTCAGTTTTTTTTTTCATAAAATACATCGAGTTAAAAGAAATATTTCAAGCAAAGCTAAGACATAGACTGGGAACTCTCACTTAAGTGGAAAAAAAATGTACAGGAAAACAATAACTAAAGTATTAATTTTAATTTAGATAGTCTCAAGCCAAACATCACTCGATCAGCCCTCAAGTAAATTAACATTAGAACAGTCTTCTGTTTCCCAGGTTTTAAAAGTGCACAATCTAAATGGTAGAAAGAGATACACACCTCACCTCCTTTTTGAGGACTGCTATAGATATAGATGTTTGAAAGGGAAGAATGTTTGATTTGATGTGTCTCATTGTAATAACATAACTTTTCCGGTTGCTTAAAATCATTTTAATTCCCTGTAACCCCAAATTTATTTCAGCTCTACTTAAAAACCCATACCCCCCCCCCCCCCCCACCCAGCCCACCACGCCGATGAAAAAAAAATTCCTTGAATCATCATTTAATTATACATTTGCATTTTCAGGTTGTTTTTTTTTTTTTAATTTAGACGTTTTGTATTAGATCTATATATAAGTAAACCATCTTAAATGAATGAAAGCAGGCTACAAGTAAGAAAGAAATATTACTATTGAAAATCTGTATCAGTCCTCACAAGCCGATGATGAAAACTGTAATACTAAAGCGAACATGCAATGAAAACTGACTCTGTAATGTCTGAGCCAGAAAATAAAAAGTTTCAAATGGGCCATCAAAATCAATATAATAAGCAATATGTTGTTCTTATCAGATTCTTCCTACATACACTACATGATTAATTTTTATTTTTAATATTTCGTAATATAGCTTTACTTATTTAGTGAGCTGATCCGTTCTTTTTTAGTTTGAGTATCATATTTTTATATTCTAAATTTTTATTTTTAATATTCTGTAATATAGCGTTACTTATTTAGTGAGCTGATCCGTTCTTTTTTAGTTTGAGTATCATATTTTTATATTCTAAATTTTTATTTTTAATATTCTGTAATATAGCGTTACTTATTTAGTGAGCTGATCCGTTCTTTTTTAGTTTGAGTATCATATTTTATATTCTAAATTTTTATTTTTAATATTTTGTAATATAGCGTTACCTATTTTGTGAGCTGATCCGTTCTTTTTTAGTTTGAGTATCATATTTTTATGTTCTAAATTTTTATTTTAAATTATTTTAATAGCAAATATAAAACGCACTAACAGATTTAAATATTCAACTAAATTTCTTATCAAATACAGGAATATTTACAATCAATACTCAGTTATTAAAACTATTGCAACAATTCATTATATCAAAGCAAATGTACTTCATGGAAGTGATATTTGAGAATTATTGTTAAATGTAAATATATGTGGATTATGTAACATCAACATTTTCCGTTCGTACCCAAGACACATGGGGAAGATGAAGTAGAGTTCATCTGCTTCAGAGATCTCGGCATATGAAGGGATAGCGTAATCAGCACAATGCCCAGCCGCCTTTGTTTCCCTAAAGTGAGTTAGGTACCCATCAGAGCTGGGTGGATTCATGGACAAACCAGTTATTTGAACCCAGATTCGAACTCGAGACTCTCGGGTTAGCAGGAATGAGTATAGCTATCTAGATTTTCCCGTTAAACACAATCAGAACTAAATATAAATCACCTGAAATAGAAATGCCTAAAACATGGCTCACTGCCAGGGTAGGTTTCTTAGAAATTCCTCCAGCAATAGACCGTGTACACTAACACGGGGATTTCCCTAGGTGATCATTAACATAAAGTATACATCAGCTAGAGCAGATATAGAGGCGTAGATTATAACCTTTTATACTATCAAAATATAATGTAAAATTGTCTATTTAAAAAACTATACTTTGAATGTTGAGGACATGCAAACAAAAGTAGACCCAGCTGAGGCTTCGTATTAAAAAAAAGGTGAGGACACATTATTTTATTACACCGTAGAATGTACTGTTATTATTTTTAAAAAAGTATAATAAATGTGATTTTTGTTTTAACTATAAAACGTAAAACAGCATATAAAACCACCGCTGACAATGTCTTAGCCCCATATTTACCACTAACCAAAGATCTCATCTGATTCAAAGCCCTAAACCTAGAATAAAATGTTAATGTTAGTCTAAGCTTTCATTATTTTTAAACAAACTAAACCTAACTTAGGAAGGATTGTTATTTATGATTTCTTATATACTGTTATATGTGTATACCCAATCAACTTTCTAAGCGTCAGCTAGGCTTTTATCAGGATAGCTAGAGCTGATTGTTAATTTGACAATATATCTGGGAAACGATAAATTTAATCATTGATAAATTAAATGTTGTCTTTTTTAGTGGTGTTCAGATTAATGGACTACGACTTCGATAAAGCCTTTGAGAAGGGTAAGTAGATCATTCATTTAATCTCAAGTGAAATTATTTTATTTTCATATTGTTAGCTTTTAGTATTCGCCCTTAAATGAAGTCGTGGTCGGGTATTCTAGCGCTCAACTACTAGTATAGAAAGGTCGTTAGTTCGGATCTTGTCTGGCGGATGTCCCTGAGTCCACTCAGCACTAATGGGTACCTGAGTTACATTAGGAAAACCAAGATGCTGGGCATTGTGCTGACCACACCATTATTCCATATGCCGACTCCTAGAAACACCTTTACTTTCAAAAGCATCACGCTCTCTCCATTCTCTCCATCCCACCAACAGGCAGACTGGAACTTGTTTAAGATTCCAGCATTTCTCTCCCCCCCCCCCATGTTACCAGCCGCTAGACACACGAGTTTCAGTCAGATATTCGCTACCTACCCCAGTGTCTCACACCTCACGTTCTAAAATAAGTCAGTTCCGTCGGGGTACGATCTACGTTCTTGCGCCCGGGGTCCGAACCCGTGACTTTCGGGTTAGCAAACTCGCGTTTTACTACTATACCACATCAACAACTAACTAATCCGACTTATCTCTTATACTCGCTTAACTTTAAAGTTATTTAGTTGTTGCTTTTTTCCAGCTAAAACAGAAGAAGAGATCAAAGCACACGATGAACATTGGCGACAGTCGGTGGAAAAATGTAAAAAGACGGATAACCACAGCAGTTTGGAGAGTGTGAAAACGTTTGACAGGAGTCGAGTAGAGGCCTGCTTTAAACACCCAGAACACAACCGTGAACTGATATCTGGCATATTCTCCTTGCTGCAGAGAATGATCTCCCTGACAGTTTACATCGAATACCTGAGTCGAGACTTCACAAAGTGCTGCGGTACTGGTTTTATCCAGAGAATCTGGATCGAACAAGGGGGTGAATGTCCGTGCAGAACATGCCAGAAAGAGGAAACTACTCCACCTGAAAACAGTTGGGCTAAGATAACAGTGACCACTGTTCATCACGTGGTGGAAAACTTGGAGAGTGAAATGAAATTGTCGGATGTCGTGTTAGATTACGACGAAGACGATAGCCGTGACGATTTAGAGAGTTATAAGACGCTGGCAGCTTTAAAGAAGTTGGAGTTATTTAGGGTTCAAGATTCGGATAAGGACGGCACTTTTGATTGGTGCTCTGTGGAGTGTGTGACCCATGATATGAACCTGGCGAGGAGGCTGAAGCGTGTTTTGGAGGAGTATGAAACATTTCAGGAACAAGTGTTTCAGGAGTATACTAAGAAACGCCAGACATTCGCAGAGAAAAGTTCGGAGGGAACAGAGAAAAGTCAGGAGGGAACAGAGAAAAGTCCGGAGGGAACAGAGAAAAGTCAGAAGGGAACAGAGAAAAGTCCGGAGGGAACAGAGAAAAGTCCAGAGGGAACAGAGAAAAATCTGGAGGGAACAGAGCAAAGCCAAGAGGGAACAGAGAAAAATCTGGAGGGAACAGAGCAAAACCAAGAGGGAACAGAGAAAAGTCAGGGGGTCACAGAGAAAACCCAGGGGGTCACAGAGAAAAGTCTGGAGGGAACAGAGCAGAGCCTGAAAGACGTAAAGCTGGCTGTTGTTGTTGGACACCCCCATGGAATGCCCAAGAAGATCAGCTTCGGTGTCTGGGACAAGAAGAGGACTCTCAAGGAGGTCCGCGACCGGCAGGAGTGGTGCCGGTACTCCTACACGACCCCCACCTGCCCGGGGAGTAGTGGCTCGCCCGTCTTCATCCTGGGGCAGCCGCTGTGTGGGTTCGGGTACTGGTTCGGCCACCCACACAACCACAGCCGTGGCTACGATGAAGGTGTTTTGGTCAACTTTAGTTCCATTGGTACCAATCACGCTGATTCCCCTTGACCAAATCCCGCATGGGTTGAGGATGTATATGCTCCCTTCTCGTTAATCACCTTAACTACACTGAACTATGTAAAGAAATTTAGAATAATAACTTTTTGCACATTTTTAAGTAGTTTTCATAATTTTCGCTATTAAGAAAAAAATATTTCAGAACTATCATAACTGTTAGTAAGCTATTTAATTTAAATTTTAAACCATAAGCGCTATGTAGATTTTAATTTATTTCAGATAACTTTTCAAAATTTATACTTAACATTTTGCTTAATTGCCAAAAGAATATTTTTTATGGTCTTGACAGAATTCATTGACATTAAGCTTAAGCTGAGTTTTGTGTTTGTGTGTAGTAAATAATTATTTATTTCCATCAGTTTTATGCTTTGCATTATGTTTCTATTTACATTTTTGTACGATTTTTACTTTTCTGTATTCTATTTATGAGTTAAAATAAATGTGAATTTTAAATCTACTTACATGTGTAATGATTTTGATTCTCTAGCTAAAATTCATCAGCACTAAAAAAAAATTGATTAGTTTGTTTTATCAAAGTCAAGCACGACGAAATGTTTATCTAGCTTTAACCTCACTATCACCTTACTTTAACACTAATCACAACCCCGAGCCTAACTTTTAAACAGGTCAATGTAAATCTCGGTATTACACTGCACCTGCCATTTTAAAAATGTATATCAACTCTGATCCCTGTAAAGAATGTTAAAATGCGATGTTAAAACAATGCAAAACGCTAGTTATTAGAATAAATTTAATTTTCCGCACATCTTAAATTTATCAACCAGAATCGGAGCCATGGGCTTAGTTAGAAAGACGATCTTCTCCAGTTTGTCCGCTGTAGTGTGCCCAAACTGTACCTCACTATGCCCATTATCCAGCCAGCTTCACGTGTGGCCCATATTGAAGATATCTACCTTACGTTATTATTGCCATGTCTTTTTCTATAGGAACTTTTTGTTATAAGAACCGGAGACAAACATCACAGTAAAAACTGCAAGTATCAAGTCAGATGTGCACATTTAGGTGGAGGTGATATTTTAGCTCCAAGTATTAGCTGTTGTGTTTCATATATCGTGTCAGACTTTAATATAATATGTTTATATATTTTCATTGTTTACGAAAGTTAGATGTTATAAACAAGTGTATGATTTTACAAGGGAAAAAAACTAAGTTACCAGAGCGTGCATCACGGAACTCGCTGCGGAATGTATGGACTGAAGACATCATCTGGTTCTACAGCGACTAATACGTTGGTTGTGTCTATGCTTTGGTACATAGACCACGGGACTCGCTGCGGAATGTATGAACTGAAGACATCATCTGGTTCTACAGCGACTAATACGTTGGTTGTGTCTACGCTTGGGTACATAGGCCACTATCGCGTTTTAGGGAGCCAACAGTTGGATTATAGTGCAACAATACAGGATTAAGATTAGAATAATGGAAACATTTTACGCAACAGTTCTATTTTTACTGTGTACGTACACTAACAATTACAATGCAATTCAGTTTTCCGGGAAAAAAATTGTTTCACCTGATAAAACGTTTTTTTGGTAATAGAAATACAAATAGGATCAATAGCTGAGATATATCGATCTAAAGAAACAAAACAAATGTATACCAGTGCTTCAAGTAGCGACCTAGACTTGAAGCAGTGGCTAAAAATGAGGTTGTCTAAAAATAAACGTGACGTTTTGAAAGAAATGTGACATCACCCACAAACTCAAATACGGGCATGTACCTAACGGGGTGTAGATTTAGATTACAATAAAGTTGTGTAAGCAATTTAAACTAAACAAAAATTTCTCTGAAAAAGAATACGTAGCTGGTATGTGTAACATATAGCTCATATACAGTATTTATTTAATCCGATCACTGTTTAATCGGTGGGGTCGCTGGTAGAAAGTTCCAGACAACAAAATCTATGCTCAATGTTTCTCCAGCTTTAGTCGTAAACGGTCCTGCTGATTTATTTTCCAACTGAAGCCTTTAAACGTGTAGCCTATTAATTTACAATGGATTTCATCAAAACATTTAGAGAAGGTAGGTTAGGAAAATACTCGAGTTTGTTGTTTTTAATTCATCATAAGTTTCCTTAATAGTGGATACTAATTTCAAGCATCCAACGTTTTAATATTTCAGAAGTTAGGAAAACGTAATCTTAAAATATATTTTAATTAATAATCATTTTTCGTTGTTTTTTTTTAATCTGTGTTCAACATTTAGCTGTTAATGAGGAAGAGTCAGTACCGGATAGTCTGACGTTTAAAGAAGCTTTGGAGAAATGTAGCAACGATCATAGAGGATTGACTGAGGCCAGATCTTTTACTGCTGACCGTGTCTACAGACTCCTGGTAAGCCAGCTCGAGGTTTTTGACCGTGAGGATAAGGCGTGTCTTGATGACGTCATGAAACTCTCAGCTAACGTTCACGCTCTGATTGTTCACATGGACAGCCTGACGACATTTATCAACTACAAATGTCCTGAAGACATGAAATGTCGTGGAACTAGGTTCATCCACAAGATAAAACAAATAAAAAACAAATTTTGCGTTTGCGCTGAATGCAAGGGTAAGCATGAACAAGACAGGCAAAAATCGTATGCATCGATTACCATGTCGACTGTTAATCACGTGATTTCTAAATTAGCTGCTAATACAACAGACGCGGAAGTTATTTTATTTTATAACGACGATGATCTGAGTTCAAAAAATGTTCGAAACATTGATTTTTTCCGGGTTCACGACTCCACAAAAGACGCTGAATACGATTGGTGCTCGGCAGAGTGCGTCACTCATGACGTAGATCTCATTGATAAACTGAAAGCAATGCTACAGGAGTATGAGAGGCTTCAGAGAGAAGTGTACACGGAGTATAAAAACAACAGGAAGAAAGATTTTAAACTTGTGGCCATCACCGGCCACCCCCACGGGATGCCTAAACAGGTGAGCCTCGGCCCGTGGGAGGAGAAGAGGACCCTGAGGGAGGTGAGGGACGGGCAGGAGTGGTGCAGGTACTCATACCAGGCGCCCACCTGCCCGGGGAGTAGTGGCTCGCCTGTGTTTATCCTTGGACGTCCGCAGTCTGGGTTCGGCTACTGGTTTGGACACCCGCACAACCATAGCAGAAAGCATTCAAGGTTGAATCTAAATTTCAGTTCCATTGGGACTGACCAAGAAGAAAACCGATAAAGTCAACACTATAAATTCTTACACACATATTTGTTCTGGCGTTAGTGTAACTGTGACCGAAAGCACACAAAATGGTTATTGATTTTGAAAACTGACGACGAAGGAACAAAATTTAGTTAGTTCTACGTGTACATTTTGCGGTCAAATATGTAATTTTCGTGCACTAATTTAATACCTTGCTTTTATGTATGGGTGGGTGTTGATAATTTTGTTGTATTGTGTATGACGTGGTGATGTGGGGACAAGAGTCGGGTTTTATAAAACTTGTTTTTTATTACTTTATTATTTTTGTTTCCAAAACAATATCTGGAACTACTTTCCTCTTTAATATTTCATTTCTCAAAGACAAACACGAACTGTATTACATTACTTCTGTGTGTACAATTATTTTAAAAGTATTTTGAGTAATGATTCTATTAGTAGTTATTTAATAAAACGTTATGCAAAAACGTATTCTGTTCATTGTTCTGTGTATGAGTAGGAGGAGGTTTCTAGATAAGTTATATCATATGGGGCTGGTCACTGAAAATGTCATATCACGTTATACAGTGCTGGGTAATGGGTATAATGTACAGTGTTTCTTCCAGACTTTTTCCCCGGGGAGGGGCACATGAAATTTTCGGGGGGAGGGGCGGACTAAAATTTTAGTGGGGGGCGGACACTGTTAAAAGTATATATTTTCTATATAAATTACATTTTCGTTGGGGGGGGGGCGGTAGACTTTCTTTGGGGGGGAGGCGGCTATGCAATTTTTAACTGCTCACACATTTTTGATGTAGTATGCACCATTCATACCCAAACTTGATGATTACCTTTCGAGTTTTAGTTCCTTTTGTGTCTACATATATTTTCGAGAATAGAGTTTCAACACTTCTCCAATTGAAAACAAAACAAAGAAATACATTAAACGGGGGTCGCGGGTTACTTACTTTTTCATAAAAGGGGGTCGCCACTCGAAATAGTTTGGGAGCCACTCCTCCGGAGTAATGTTCGGGTCGAGGGGGGGGAGGAGCGTTTGTACTAATGGCGTCATTGTGACATGGGCAGAGGGGCGGTAGTGTAATCCCATGGGGGAGGGGACGCCTAACCCAGTAAAACTTTGCAATCAGATTCTAAGAAGATAGTTTTTAAATAAAGGCGTCAATTTTGATTAAAATTTGGATACCTGTTCATACCTGACCACAAATGTCTTGTAGCGGCGGTGTCAATGACCTCACCAGGAGCGGAAAACTGACCGCGAGTGACTATGGCCTTATATTATCGTACAATCTATCTTAAAATATATAACCAAAAAACACATTGAAACTTTGTGAATCGTAAACGTCGTTTTCGTCAACTTCTTATAGTTTTTTTTAACGTCAGCAGGAGATTGATAGCCATGTTTGTTTACATGTACCACGTGACCACAAGAAGAAAACAAATTTTTTTTTATTTACCAAATTGCTGAAATGGTATACAAAAACAACATTAAGTTTTTATAATCACATATAATAGTGTAAAGGTTTAGGCTTGGGTTTAAGCATCTTTATCGATATATATATATATATATATATATATATATATATATATATATAACGTGCTCGACTATATTTCTTCCCAAACAATCCAGACTGTCGCTAGCAATCAAGTCGTAACCTCAGCCTATTGAATCAGCTGTAAAAATAATCACATTGTCTGGTTACTTGAACATGAACACAATGTTCCTTCAGGTCCCAACCAGTTTGGTCCAACTTGTAAACCTGAACACTTCCAACTGTGTATACAAATGTATTGAAAGAATATAAAATTGTATAACACACC